GTTTTACGTTTTGTCCATATTAACATTTAATGATATGGCGAACATCGTCTAACCCGCTCAATATCTTAGCCATTCTATGATCTAGAAAGCTGACCGCATATCTAAATAATATCAGAAGAAAGACCTGCAATTGGCAGATTTATTGCTTACATAATGCATCTTTTAAGGCCATAGTGTATATTAGCGCTATAGCATAATAATTGAAATAGCTGAGGGTAGTTATACTCTAGGCTAATGAAGAAATATGTTCCAGTTCATACATTACCCCCTGTTTAAAATACTCATTTGTTCAGCACCTTTTTCTCATATAGAGAAACGAACCAGGTTAAAAAATAAGTTCTGCTAAAATTGGTTACGGATTCCTAGTAGTTTCTTCTACTACCAAGAGATTACTCCATATGTCGAGGAAGATCGTGGCGTGCCGCAGAGTCCTTTCAAAAAATTGAAAATATTAACACCATCTGTATGTTTAGAATATGCTATTTCGTCGCGTTGTCGTAATTACTAATAACCTCTTTTCGCTGCGGCTTTCGAGGGCGCATTACTTCTCGTTCTACTGAACAAATTCGGGTTACTTGATTGCTTTTCGATTTGGCGAACGCTATTTGAGATGCAGAATATGGGTTATCTGAAAACGAACGTTTTGATCTTTTCCGCGTTTGTGTGTAAAGCCTACTTATACCTTGAACTGAAACGAGTCGATACTTAAGCCATGCTCATTAGGCCATTGCGACACTTGAAGTTCCGAATTAAACCTTCAACAAGTATTGTAAAGTTCTGTTGATGTTCCATGGACAGTGATACCATCGCAATCGATAATAAAATAATTTTAAATGCTTGTATTGTGGTGAGCATTTGTGATGCATTGTGTATAAGAGTTCGGGGCTTCACACTGCAGATGTTCTTCCCGCCTCGCTATTCTCTAATAAATAAGCGATTTGCCAATGGTTATACGGAATTGAGGAATATACTTTTTGTTTACAGCGATAATCGGTATTCATTTTTAATCAAATATACTTTTGAACACGGTATGAACCATACTGATCAGCAGTGAATATTCGCTAGGCCGCTAAAATCACTGATTGGGATGACATTTGTTCTGGTTAATTACCTCGCAATATAAGTTTTTTTCCTTCTGAAAATTAAATTCTATTACTAAATGCCATTGAAACAAATTAAATTCTAGAACCCTTTTTTTAAGTATGAAAAAAAATAAAGGCATTTGGAGTATATTCGGATAAAAATATTCCTTATTTATTGTAAATGGGTTTTATAAAATGAATAAAAGGAACAATTCTGCACTGACCAGTTTAGGTTATGTAAACAATGCACGCTCCATCGTACCAATGATCGATGCCTTGTGATGTGACGTCACATTTAGAAGGCATTTGATCTTATAAAGGTCTGCCTCTGTGAAACAGATTGGGTAAGAACATTGGAATCAGTAGAGCCGCCTACCTATACTCCCAATAAAAACTCTTATAAAGCGATCTAGTTAGTGCCGAGTTGACGTCAAACCCTATTTCAATCTATCCTGTTCCATAAGTATGATGCATTGTTGTTTAGCATGTACATTAATCATTATGTCTGGTAAAAGAGGATATGCTGATATATTTTTTGTCCCCTATATAGCACTTTTACAGATCATGTTATTGTTTCGTGGAATTGCGATAGTTAGTTTTTGTTATTGAATTATGGCTGGTTGTTGACTCAAAATCAATGAAAATTCTGTTTTCCTGAATTAATTTTGATCAAACTTCTAAGTTGGTCGATGAAGGTTTCGTTACGTTTGTGGGATTATGCTAATTTCTTTTTCACTGAATTATGGTCCATTTTGATTTTAAAACATCGATGAAGATTCTTTTTACCGGAGTTATTTTAGGTTAAATTTTGAGATATGCAAAGTAACAAATCAAGTTTCGTGGGTTTTGACTGAAATTTAGTGCGCTGTTTTACATAATTCATTTCAGTAAAAATCCATTTTACAGAATTTATTCCGTCTGTACGTTTTTATACGTCCACATGAAAATGTTGTCGTCGCCCCTGGACGTCCGTCCGTACACAATTAGTTTGTGGGCACTCTACAGGTCACAATTTTATTCGATTTTGACGAAACTTAAAATATACGACTATCTCCCAAAGATCTCGGTTCCTTTCGATATTGACATATCGGACCATAACGTCGTGGATTATTGCCCCTGATTGTACGAAAAATCACGTTTTTAGCTTGTGGGCACTCTAGAGTTCACAATTTACATCTAATTTTGATAAAACTTGATATGCATATTTATAACCCACAGATATTGGTTCCTTTCAATATTTGCGCATATCGGATCATCACTTCCTGAATTATGGCCCATGATTGTACGAAAAATCGCGTTTTTAGCTTGGGATCCCTCTAGAGGTCACAGTTATTATCCGATTTCAAACACCGTATTTGAATATATCACCGTTACATTGTAATGACGCTTGAGTTCGAATTTCGTGAAAATCGGACCAAAACTGCCGGACAAAATGTCCGCCCCTCGTACGCAAATAGTGTAAACAAAATATGGTATATCAAGTGTAGACCCTCTAGAGGTCATTATGTTGATGTGATTTTGATGAAACTTGAAAAGTATGTTCATAACCCATAGCTCTTGGTTCCTCTCAAAATTCGCGCATATCGGATCTTAACTTTCTGAATTATGGACCTAGAGGTAACAATTTTTATTCGATTTAAAAAACCGTTTGAATATTTCACCGTTACACTCTTATGATTGCTGAGTCACAATTTTGTGAAAATCGGACCGAGATTGCCGGACAAAATGGCCCTCCCTCGTACGCAAATAGGGTAAATATATGGTACATCAAGGTTGTGGACCCTCTAGAGGCCACAATTTTGATAAAACTTGAAATACATATTTAGAACCCAAAGATCTTGGTTCCTTTTGATATTCGAGCATATTAGATCGTAACTTCCCGAATTATGACCCTTGATTGTACGAAAAATCGCGTTGTTAGTTTGTGTTCCCTCTAGAGGTCACAATTTTTATCCGATTGAGAAAAAAACGTTTGAATATTTCACCCTTACACCCTAATGACGACTGAGATAGAATTTCGTGAAAATCGGACCAAAACTGCCTGACAAAATGGTCGCCCCTCGTACGCAAATAGTGTAAATATATGATATATCAAGGTTGCAAGTGGACCCTCTAGAAGTCATAATGTTGATCCGATTTTGATGAAACTTGAAATATATCTTTATAACCCAAAGATCTTGGCCCCTGTCGATACTCGCGCATATCGGATCTTAACTTCCTGAATTATGGCCCTAGATTGTACGAAAAATCTATCGATCTCTTGCAAAATATTGGCGTATCCTGTCTGGCATCCACTGGTTTCATTTTTGATTATGTATTGACAAACATATATTTGGAGTATCAGCCTCTTATGATACTTGTTAATAATCTTAATACCAAGATAGGTTTGTTTCCGATATTCGACATTTATTAGCACCAATGTCGACTTGTAATATGAAACCTTCCAATCTACAGGTTAAAACATAGAAGTTTGTTTTTTAAACCAAAACTTGCTGGGTCACCCAAGAACTTTAATCGGTCTACCGGTCGGGGTATTTCCAATTTTTAATATAAACTAACTGGTATTGTTTAATGACTGGTCATAAGACGAATTTAAAGTATCGCATCTATTAAATTTTGCCCCTGTCATCAAATTCTTGTTATAACTCTTTAGATAGTGTTCTAACCAATCTTATTTTTCAATATGAGATGAGATTTTAGAGAATTTCTGTTGAATATTGCAAATCATTTTAAAATATATAACAAGATTAAATAAAAACACCTCCGACAATTAAACTGTTGGGTGACATATGCTTTGTTGCCAGCCAAGACGTCTTTTGCATATATAATGTGGCCTACCTCTAACTGTGTGAACATTATGGCAATGAATTTGATAAAGGTTAACAGATACTTCCCTAAGGGTATGTGCCACATTGTGTGTACTGATTACATGATCGCTATACTATGGATTTGCTCAAGAATACTGGGCCGTCTTCATCAGCCCAGTTTGTGCAGGAAAGTTGGTACAAAATGAAATGAAATCGTGTTTAACGTCCTACGGCTCTGCTCCGGCCGGGCTATTGAAGACGGGCATGCGTCATTCAGTGTACTATGAGGGAAATTTTGCGGGGACAGCGGCGATATGGCCTTCTCCTATATCGAATTCCAACCGTCACGGGTTCTTTTTCGTCTCATCCTAGAAATTAAGACGTTAAACTCGATTACATTTCATTTAATACTGACCACCATTTAAATTCAGATGTCGAGGCGTGATATGTTTTTCATTTGCTGAATTTGTAGTCTTTGTTTTCACATCACAAAGAGGACTTATCGAGTTTCGTTATGAGCAATGATTTACGAATGTGCGAAGAACTTTTGTCTTGTCTAGCGAATGCGACGTAATCACGTTGGTGGTGCATCTTAATGACGATAAACAGATTGGGGAGAATAGTCTGTAATACTGCTGTCAATTGAAATCTTAGACGGAATGAAATGAAATTGGGTTTGACGTCCTACGTCTTTGAATTTTATGAGACAAGAATAGATTAAAGTCTAATCGTTTTCATATTACATATATGACACTCCAATCTATCAACATAGATTTAAATTAATTACAAAAATCGTAACCAATTTTCTTCTTTTTTCACAATCAAAAACGATTCAATCACAGTTATATTATTGTGATGCAGGACATTGCCTGATATTTTCTCGTTCTTCTGTACACTTACTTCTTGTTAAAGCACTATTTATTTTATTATTCAGGCCATATACGCAGCAACATGTAAAGTGAAATCTTCATAAATCCATCTCGACATGCCTAACCACTCGAAACAAACTCCCTGAAGAATAGATGAATATCACAAGACTTAACATTACTTTCAATCTCAACTTAAAACCCCTGGACGGCTAATGAAAAGTTGACGTTGAGGGTTTTCTATCGTAATTAGCACAGAGTCTCTGTCGATGACCCGAAAGACAGCAATATTTCTTAATAACCTCATTACTACTCCGTATTGGAAATCGTGTTCCAACAGCGGGTGCGTGTCTTGTTGATTCCAGTATATATTGTAAGCCGGCCTTACGAGGTGGATTGTAATCCTCATTATATAATAGACAGGCAACTAACCAAATGAGCGGTAAGAGTCTTTTAGTTATGAGTTTGTAATCAAAAATAGAATACAAGGAAACTGTTCAGACATGGGTAGCACATGATTTAATATAGTATAGATAATATATTTATATTTTACTTATCTGTCGGAAATATTCAGAAGCAAAGTTTGGAAATTGAATTCTAGGGTTTTACATATATAGTGTCATTTTCATAATAATCTGTTTTTGTATTAAAATGTCACTGAGTATTTTTGTATTAACCTGTCTCTGAATGTTTACCTAACATGGAAATTGTGGTGTCACTGAATGTTTTTTATCTTAACCTGTCTCGGAATGTTTACCTAACATGCAAAATGTGATGACTGTTTTGTATTAACCTGTCCCTAAATGTTTACTTAACCAGGAAATTGTGATGACAGCATTCATATTTTTCACAGAGTAAAGAATTCTATTGGAGATGGCATCGCATCGTGGGCAGTAATCTTATTGCCTGCGGAGTTAATCGAGAAACTGTTAAATAATTAAATACGAGATGGGTCACGTCAGTAAATTGTGAACAATGTGGGTTTAAAATAATATTAATAAATTGGTTAGATTATTTTCAACAACTGTTTATAACTTTAAGTAAAATCAACATGCATGATTAAATATATGGGTTCCCAAGTTATTGTATCAGGCATCACGTATTCAAGTGGACATTTTATGCTTGCTCTTTTAAAGGGGCTAAATCGCTATTCTTTGACATCTAGAAATGGACACAAATTTTAAAAAATTTATTTTGTCTTAAATATTAGATATCAGAAACCCATCTTTTGACGGTAAGATAATGACATCAATGTTGATTTAAATTGACAACTAAGTCGAAGACTGTGGATGATGGTGTATTGCTTTTTAAAGTTTGTTTATATTTTAAATACCACCTCTGTCGTTATGTTCGTATCCTGAAATATTGAAGCTCGACGAGGCATAAAGTAGGAGGACGGATAGAACCACTTCGTTTTGTTTGTTTCTCTTCGGATTGAATTATAGCAAATATGGTCTGATGATGATCAACATAACCAACACCACTAAGACGCTGTGCCCGGACAACTATTCGTCAGCTGTAAATTATAGTTAATATACTTTAGTCTTAACCCATTCATGGTGCCACGTTATATAGGTGAAGAACACACCTTGATATTGGGAGTAATACTATAATTTTTAGCAGAGCTATCGTCTTTCTAGTTTTAGTAAAACCATGTAAATGGTGTTCATTTTTTCCAAAGTGAAGATTCTATACTTAGCTGTTGGTGGGCGTTCTCGCACAATCAAGTTTGAAAACTTATGTTTGACTGTTCGGAAAATGACATTCTAGTTTATGTGTACTACATTATTAAGTACGTGTGGCGTTTCGGTCAGAAATCAATATTTGGCGAATTCCTGAAAGATCTACTTCTTCAGCAGTCAAAATCCTAGATTCATAAAAAATAAATATATTACCAAACTGCCGAAGAAAATATTTGTTACAAAAAAAAATACTCGAGAAATACTCAGAGTATTGCTTTTATTCCCATAGAAGGGGGCAGCTCTATAGTCTGGGGATTTGATTTTCTAAATAAACATTAAATTAATTCAAACTTGATGTGGCTTTTCGATATTTATGACAATGATGTGACCAGTATATATTTTTCCGTTATCGGTATTTTTAAAAGGTCTTCGTAGATGGTTAACCTATCGCCCCTGCTGTTTCGAATTATTCATGGGCAGATCTCTTTATAATAATTTCAATGTCGATATACTTGGCACTAAAGAAGGTCGACTTCTAGCACCAGTATATATTTTTCCGTTATCGGTACTTTTAAAAGGTCTTCGTAGATGGTTAACCTATCGCCCCTGCTGTTTCGAATTATTCATGAGAAGATCTATTCATAATAATTTCAATGTCGATATTCTTGGCACTAAAGAAGGTCGACTTCTAGCACTTCACATCGATTTAGCCTGTGTTATCGTCCTAGTCAATCACTAAGAATCAATATAAATAGTTGTGGCAAATGGAGGTTTTAAATACTTTATTAACAATGGCGCTATCCTAAAACCATCAGCACTAAGCTCGGTATTATATTAAAAAATATTTTTTCTGTTGTTAATTGTTGACCGCTGTGTCTTTTATACAGAACACGTACAATGTACGGTAACTTCTGTCTGGGTCCATTAAAGGCCATTTGCTTTTCAGAAAAGCCATTATCGATAGATTTAATTTACTCAGACTCTGATCTCTTACCAAAGTGAACACATATAATATATTTAATTTCTTATTTATAGCACCACCGTTAGACCATTACATGCTCATCTAAAAAATCAATTTAAAACTTATCATGTCTTTACTGATTGAGTCGTTATTGGTTTGCCACTTTCAAAGAGAAATAACATCTTGGAAAATTGTCATCGCAGTCGCACTAGGATAATGAGAAAGGTTATAGTCTGTAAAGCATAATCCACATATTTAAAGATTTGACTTGACGATTTCCTTAAAATAAACGAATGTCATTTCTCACAAACTTCGGATCAATCAAAATCCCATTGCTGTGGAATTTAGACTTCCAGCTTTTTACTAAATCGTGTAAAATATGCCTTGATTTTAAACATATTTCATGATGCGGGGTACAAAGCATGTTTTATGTAATTAGTCTCCTTTGACTATAATCGACAATGTGTTTGATATTAGATAAGCTCTTCTTATCTGGTGAAAAAAAAGACAAATGAAGTAATCCATATACGCCCCGTTTGTCTAATTATATAAAGCTGTTTTGATTGAAAAAAAAATCATTATATATACTATATTAAGTTGAGAAATGTTTTATAAGTTGACAATGCCTAATTAACACAATTTTTAAACGTTAAGTGAGTTGTTATTCAAACAGACGTGAGTAGATCGTAAAACACGCCAATCGGTTCCGCACGACAGCCTTATAAGTAAAATGATGTTTGCCTTTTAAAAGTTGACAGGGTTAGACATGCAAAGATGCCTTCCCGTGAACAAACTGTGTGATATGATGATATTGTTGAACTAGAAACATATTCAAACCAATTTATTAAATCCCTCTCTAATCATTTTAATTCTAAAATAAACACTACTCCATATGGCAAGAGGCTTTTCTAAGCAGTCTTGTTTGTCACGTGACTTGATGAGGAAGAACCTATTTTCAGATTATGTTTGTCGTTAGTCGATGTCCATTTACCATAAATATCGAAGCCTAAGTAAATAATTTGATTAACCTCTGCCAGTTTCATTTTCCGACGTTTAAACCTCTTAATGTTCTGCCCATCGTTACCCATTAGATCACCACATATTAAGGGGCCCTTACGTCACTCGAGAAGACCTGCTGTCAGTTCCTGACACCCTTTCATTTTTGTCCCGTAGATGTTTTTCAGGGAATCGAGTATTTTCAAGTAAAATTTGGTGTCTCTACTTCACATATATTATGCCATACTTTTGTTGCAAATAACTACTCTATAAATTTAATACTTTCGTTACCATGTATCTTTTAAAATTAGTGCATTTTAGTCACATAGTTCGCTACCTACATTGCAGTTAGCTTCAAAGCTATTTTTCCTAGGACGTTTAACTTCAACTATACGCTTTCGTCTTTAGCGAATAATCATGCAGCTGTATACAACACATTTACGCTTAAAAATATAATGACCACATAGCGCTTTCCATTTAAACTGATTGTATTATTGAGATGCGTTCCCACATACAAACGGTGTGATTTTAAGTTATACTAGCAGGATACCCGACTTTGCCCGGTGCCCAAATTCACCAGGGGCCCTATTCGCAAGGATCTCACATTCGCCAGAGGCTCCAATTCGGCCGGCGTCCATCAATTTCGAAGCCTAAATAAATTCTTGGATTATTATCCATCGTTTCAGCTCACGCTTAATCTCTCAATTTTCCCACAACCGCTAGCCACCCGATCAACACACACCAAGCGCTGCCAACATCAATGGAGCAGATAACAAACCGACGGGTTGCCAGTTAGTCATTACCTTACATTTGTCTTGTAAACGCCAAATGTTGGTTTGTTTTTCAATGAATCCAGTATGATCAAATGATACGAGCGTAGAAATCTAAAATACTATTTTAACGTTAATTCAACAACATTTTCTGGCGTAAATGCAACATAAATTTGAAAACGCACTTATACTTGGAAGCTTTTCCTAGGTAATCAATCATTTTAATTTACGCTCTGGCGTATGCTTGAAGGGGTTATAATATTAACAATGTTTCTAAAACATACAAATATCATACATTCAATTTTTCACCCTCTGTGAAGCATAACAACGCCAATTCTTTATGTGCTCATTTATTTCTAAGTCGTTGGCATTTCGTGTCATTTGGGCCTTTCCGTAGTACATCCCTTAAAACAAATTGTCTTGAAAAAAGTATCACTTGTAGACAATACTGACAAATGTATGCCCCAATGAATTATTTGACAGGATTATAGCATGGCTGACAAAACCATGTCACATTTTACCCACCCACTTAATGGGTCATTGTCTAACTGCTGTTGGATAATTTAATTTGCAGGTGTCTGGGAAATTCTGTTAATGAAAATCATTTCATAAATTCCACTAGAATATCATACTAAAACAGATACATTCATTGATGGTAGGTGGTATTTCTCCGTAAAGGAACATTCCCATATTTCACAGGGTTCCACAGATAAAAAGGGGGCTTAATACGCAAATCAAGATCTAACATGTGCACAAATACCCAGAATTTCTTATTTAGGAGGTTTGGCACAACATAATGAACAGTTCGGAAATGATTGCTGGATTTTCTTATCGAAATTACGTAAGTAGACATGACAGGCTTTTGGCTATATCGTGGAATCTGAACCTTTCGCCAAATGAAAAGTAAGAGTGTGCATTTCTTCGGGAAAGTACCACAAGTAAAGGATAGTATTGTTTCGATGTGCGATTTATGGAATGACTCCTGTAGAAATATAATACCGGATATCTCGTTAGCTATTTTCATAGGATTCGG